CGGCATTATCCCTCTGCGATTTTAACAAAAGAGATTAAACCTTTCATGAAAAGTAATACAACAATAAGCTAAAACGAAGTACTGATCAGCTTCTTGTTTGAATGCAGATGTCACATGGAGAGCGGTTATATTGTTTAGAGACATTTTGCTAGGCATTGAGTCTTTCGTGTAGCGTCTTTCTCGAATACATACGTCCATAATTTTGTATAAAAATAAGTGTCAGTATGAAGAGTTGAACGCCTCTTGCTTGCCAAAAACACCTGGTAACATTGGGATATTTTTTTAATGCGAATCAGGACTTATGTAATGGGTTTCACTGGGAGGCAAAAGGGGTAGGACATACCTAGGACGTCTTCGTTGCCCAAAAATAAACGTCTGGCCAAACTGCTTCGATACCACGCTTTGGGAATATCCAAGATTTCCAGAGTACGCCGGGTGTCGCATGTGAAGACCGCTGCTCCGATATCAAAAACACCTGTTTTGGAGAAATAAGTGAAAAGATGATTCATAATAATCGTTCCTACGACTGAGATAAAAATGGATCACTCAGCGATTAACTTGTTTTCAGTCATGCGTGACTGAAATTTGAAACCGGTTCTTAAAAGGAATCGGATAACTTGCCAACAAGGCGGAAGAACCTACCGGAGAAACGCACAGCCCGATGCAAACCCCAAGTATCACTGATCGAACTAGTCAGAGCAGTAGCACCCCCCGGAGTGAGATAGCGTCCACGTGCGGAGTCTGGGCGTTCAGTAGTGGGAAAGGCTGTTGTACCGCTCGTCTCCAATCCGGGACCGCGTACAGCGGATGGACCCAATTGGATCAAGTTCAACTGTACCACACGGGACAAGCTGAACTGAATATCACGAATCAATAAGGTCAACGAATCTCCGGACCAGGTTGGACCCCAACCAGTATCGGTGCGGTTGGTTTTCATGTCTCCGAACGGATGAAACACAGAGATACGGAATTCTGTAACCCGGGGGAGAAAAACATGATGAGGGAAACCAGGACAATGAGATTCATATCAGTCAGAAGGATAGTGGCAAATTTTTGTTATGGTTATACAGGAAGCTGTGGAGTAATCATTCATAGTTTAATCAGCCACAGAAGTGTAATATTTGATAACTGGTTTCACCGCTGCCAACATAAGACTAGCTGTAACCACATGAGATACTTAGTACATTCAAAACTTAGTCATCCATAAAAATGCGTTGCAGTGCTTGAAATGACTGCGTTATATCCCACGGTCATTTCAAGCCGTTACAATGGTGTATAGCCGACGCTGTGGCTGAAGCACTAGTAGTGAACAGCAGATTAAAACAGAAGCCGAAATATTTAGAAATCGTCAATAGACAAACCATTGCAAAGTGCGAGAACGTTTATTCCAGTGCCATCAGCTTGACCTTTGAAAGTGCAATACAAGTGCCAGAAGTTCACCTCGTGAAATTTGATTATTCTACCAGACTAGCGGAAGGTCAACAGAAAGTTAACACGGGCATAGTGTTCTTCATCTAGTGTTACTTCAGAAGCACCGATTAAGTTCAAATCCCGTACTGTTTGATCCGCTCAATTCATTAAAACAGTTTTATGACCAGCAGAATTAAAGGAAATAAAACACGACAAATGGCACAAATATGAAGATTGAGATTGGGACGAATTCCTCAACAGAAACATGACGGGGACGGTTGAGAGAAGTAAATCCGAATGGACCGAGTCATGTAAAACAAAATGTCAAGCGTGTACTGGATGAACATCAATGATTACCCTTTAGGATAGCAGTGACACAAAGGCCACCCTCGGAAATAGCATCTCCAGGAGTGTTTGGGGTAGATACCACACGGACGGCAGTACCACGAGCGTTGATGTCTAGGAAAAGATAAAACAACAATGAAGTGTACAAGGAACATGATCAGTTAAGCATCAAAAATGTGAAAGAACACTAAAAACACTATTGTTAGTATTATTATTTGTCTTGATTTTACTTCTATCGACAGATCTATTTCAAATGGTTTATCGCAGGTCAAAATGATATTCACACTGTGAAAAGCCTCCTAAATACTTAAATTTGAGCGACTTTTTTATTACACCCATCGTATGACGAAAAACAAAGGGCATAACACCACAGTCATCAGAAATTAGGCTCTCAATCACGCAGCCGGCGACCTAAACCATGGGGCTTGGAGTAGTGAATAACATAAGGCCCCAGTAAAACAGGTTTATTATTTTTTCACTTTAGTTCTTTTTATTGAATATACTACGATAAAATTTTCTGTAAGGAGGAAGCGGCCAATCACAAGGCTGCCATTACACACACAATGGGGAAAGTCAGGCAATGGTGGTGGGATTCAAATACATCTCGGGGTGATAATTTGGTGACTTTACCACTGGGGCACCACCGCCCTATTGAGTCAGACAACGGGTGAGATGATTACCACGAAATTTTGGTGGTGGAGGCAGGGTTCGAAACACAAACCACGGGGTCCAGTGCGCTCCCGGGCAAAAGAGTATGACAGAAGAATTGATATATACGAGTATTAAATAAAAGTGCCTAAATGTGAATTAAAATGAAAATTACCTAAACCCAAAGACGCATAACGACGATTATCGTTTACCACTTCTCATTCGACAGAAGCCGTTCACCAAATGCTGCTCAAAAGTGTGTACTAATTAATCTCCCAAATGTTAGTGATACCAGTGGTTTTTGAACATCTAATGGACTATCGCCAGAAAGTCGAATTTAAAGTGAAATTTATCTCCTCTGATGTCCGGAAATTATGAACGTATTTTTTTTGTTTTGACAGTGAATAGTCTCGCAATGCTGCAACCACAGACCGTCAAAGGCACATTTAACAGTGTTGGTGCCAAAGCATGCCAGACACACAAGGACATTGCAAAACACTTCTTTTGTGTTACAATTTGGCAGAAGAGTGGCCGTTTTTCTCATTTGGACGGGCACTGGCTATTCGGCGTTACAAATATGAGGTTTAAGCACGGAGATCGATCAACCGATAGACTTTGCCCGTTATTGTTATGATTGTTGTGGCGTTGGCACCATACTTGTTCTAAAAAAGGAATATTCACTTTCGGTCATTCGCGTTAGATCTTGCTTAAAATGCACTGCAAGTTTGGTAGTGCAATTCGCTTTCTTGTGATGTACTGATGTACGACAACATTTACCTGTTCATTATAGATTATAGTTCAATGGTAATGAACAGACTAATTAATTAACACAGTGGGAAGGCTGTCAAATCTGGAGCACGAGCGCACTCTTCTGATGTCCAGGTCCAATTAAGTTTGATGAGCGATCGCCAAATCTCGACTACAGTAAGAATATATCAGGTTTGGAGAAAGAAAATGAATGAATACACACCAATAATCGTCCAACAATGATATTAGAGTGGAGTGCATTGTCCTGAAAGTGAAACATTTACCCAAGACGACCGCAGCACACGAGAGCGTGAGAGTATATGAATTTCCATTTGTGCGATCGCTGGCTCGACACTTTTATGGTAAGGTAATGATTCCATCGGAATGACGATGTTACTGAAAGACTAAAATCAGTCTGTTACCAGTTAATGACCACATGATCAAGACAGTTATGGAAACCGAAAAGTGGATAAAAAAATAGTTACCGTGATTTCAATATACCTAGACGAGTGTCACAAGCTGAAACACTAAAAAATCCAAACATTCTCAGATTCCTGATCATGGTCTTGAAGTAATGTCAGCGGCCCACACAAAAAACCATAATAATGTATATTCATCTCGACTTTGAACCAAACATTTTCATCGCCTGGAAAAACACTGTGTGTGTGCGCGAAAAACTCCTCACTAGAATGTGTATTTCGAGCGTGTTTCGCCAATCAAAAACCCACTCCAAATCCAGTGATAGTCAGCATAGTGCAATGCGTTCTTCCAACGAGAACTGTGATATTTACAGGGCGCTTGATCTCTATACAATCAGGACGACAAAATTGGTTCAAATTGTTGTTCAGCAAATTGAATTCTTACTTTGAGATTGTGAAAAGTTCAGTAGCCTCGGTGGGATTCGAACCCACGCATGGAAGCCACCTTCGCTTTTGTACAGCGCATGATCTACCAGATGAGTTACAAAGACCACACCGATGGCACTGATCTTTTCACATTCGAACCACCCATTCAACTTACAGAGGCATATGGCATCCATTAGTCAGAATGTAAGCTGACTGCCACGACAGGTATTCCTCAGAATTCACCGGAGTTCACTGAATGAACTTCTAACGCAAGATTAATTGTTAAAATTGTTGTTCGGCAGATTGAAATATTATGCTGATGTGGATGCCACATGCTTCTGTAAGTTGAATGGGTGATTCGAATGTGAAAATATCAGTGCAACCGATGTGGCCCGGTAACTCAGCTGGTAGATCATGCGTTGTCCATGCGTGGGTAGGAATCTCACCGTGGATACTGAACTTTTCACATTCTCAACAAAAAATAGTGTTGAAGAGAAAAATAAACTCCGTTGTACTAAGAGTGGGAAATATCTTCCCTGCTCATAGAACAATTGCACAAATTCTAACACACTGTGCGTGGCGCCCGTTAGGGAGAGAGAATGCGTGTGGTACTGAGTTATCGAATTAGCAAAACCAAACCAGCAAGGCTTTTTCATATTGAGGTTTTTGTGTTAAACTTCGATATAAGAAACATGAAGTGCATTTTTGCCTGAATGAACAGTGTGGAAGCAACTGCGACAAATGATAAATTTGTGTATGGTTCGCATGAGTGATATCGTGATTGGAGCATTAAAGGCACCATGATTAGTGTTCTAGATGACAGAGATAGCAAAGAACAGAAAACCTGTTAGGTCAGACGCGTCCAGTGAGAACGGTACAAACCTGATCGCAAATTGGCAGGTTCTGAGGATGTAGTGGATCTCCCGACTCCTTCGGAATCGGAGCCAGTATTTTCCAGTTCGGACTGCTGTTCCTCCGGATTGCGCTTGGTCGAAAAGACCGCATCCAAGAATGGCAATACCATGAGACATTGCATCCGTGAAGTGGGTAGACACAAGAGTCTAAGAGAAATAAAACAAAGAACGAACGACAAAACAAATCGATAAAATATATTATTAAAGGTGGACTTTATTCGGGCTGAGAATTATAAAAATCGGTTTCATGCGTGAACACGAATGTGTACGGCAGTAAACGAGAGAGCTGTATTGAAAGTTAAGGTTGAACGACAACCAAGTGTTTTTGGTTTAATCGTCCGACAAGTTTGGATAACACGTATGCGGGAAATGAATTTTGTCTCCTCCTTTTGTCCCTTTATGTGCTGTCTTTAATAAGCTGTAATTGAAGATGAAGTATGGGGATGATTAACCGCAACAGAAAAAGAGTAAATTTATTCATCTGGGAAATACCGAGCGCTAACAAGATCCTTAGTCGATACAAATCCCGCATGGTGGGACGAACTACCGCGAGTTTACCGTCACGGTAAGAACAACGAAATTAGGAATCCTTGATATCTATCTGGCGAAATTTCACACTGATCAACAAGCGCACAACCAGCGGATGAACAAAATCCGGTCAGTTTGGTAGTTACTTCATTCGGTAGATAAGGAATGAGGTTAACAGTCTTCAAACGATAAAATAAATAAAAACAGCAGGTATTTCACGGAAAGAAGGTAGAGGTAGGAGAGCCTAATATCCGCATTAATATGAGTAATGATAACAAGAATCAAGCAGTGGTTTGTTCACGTGTAAGATGCCGGCTATGACCGAATTACCAGCCACGTGGTCGAAATCCAGTCGCTTACCGGACTGCGGACGGCTGTACATGAAGATGCACCACCGTGTGAACGGGGAACGTTTCCGAGAGTATGCCGTCCAGCGACGGGGATGATGTGGGACCACTGATGGAGTCATTCGATCGCTTCTTCTCTTCATTCGTGGATTTTTCTTCTTCGGACGATAATGACTCTACAATAAAGTAGGAAAACGTAGTTTATAAACGAAGAGGAAACTACGTCATTTCCGTTGTGCAAGTCGAGGTTTTGAAAAAAGATGGTATAACTTACTAGTGTCAGCATCCGTATCGGTCACAAGAGGAATGTTTTCTAGTGCTTGTTCCAGAAAATCCAACAAAGCCGGGTGTATTACAAGTTCCTGACGTGGAAACAAGTTTTGAATTTCAGTGTAAGTATCATCAAAACACTCGGGAAATTACATATTGGAATAGTTGAACAATTATATGTTTCATATGAGTAATGAAGGATTTGATTCAATTTCGAAGGTGATTTCGTCATGTATATAGTAGATGAAAAGTGAACTAAGGCATTGGACAGTTGTTTCAACCTGGTTGGGTCTTATCAGTAGCGCGAATCCATCGACCCAACTGGGAATCGAACCCGGGACCTCATGGGCAGAATGAAGCATGCTACCCACTCGGTCATCGGGCAGCTGATTAGACCATCATAACGCGGAGGCTAGTGCTGAGATTTTTAACAGCATAGAGTACTACGGAGATCATGGTGAGATTAGTTTAATATACCTGAGGTAGTTTTTGTAAGAAAAATGATATATACAACTCCGCTTGTTTCTTGAGACCACTTGAAACGGGTGCGGCTTGGGACGGGCTTGTTAGATTGCACCGTGACGGTTCGGAAACAGTAACATCCTCAGTCCGACCACGAAATTCCGTTTTTGGCGACACCGAACGGATCGTTTGCGATGGCCTTGCGTTTGTACTTTTCATCGGCCCCGCATCGAACGGAATGAAATCATTTGGTCTGGGGTGAATTCCAAACGTCTCAACTGCACTTGATTGTAAATCCACTTCGGTCATCGAATTGTAATGAAGCTGAATGAATTAGTGGAAATGATTTTAAATAATGAGACGGATAGCAAGCGTTCTTGGGAGACAGAGATCCGCTTATAGTAGCGGAGATTGGACAAAATACACTTGAAAATAAAATAATAAAGTCAGAGGAAAGACTATTATGAATAGTGAAAAGTAATTACTGTTAGAAACCACTAGAACGAAACGCATTTGATCTTCCTCGATTTGTTCGAAGCATTCGACCTGGTTTCTAACTAAGGTAATAAGTGCGGACCCACTTTGTGTTACATCACCTGAGTACGAAACTTTCTTTGTGGCCTTTCTATCTCTATTCGTAACCATGGATCTCTTGGAAGGCAATCTCAGTGAATTAAAGCGTCCCATGAGGGGTTTAACTTACTTCATATATTTTATTGAATAAATGATTGAACAAACCACTTTCAGGAAACAAGCGACCAACGATAGAGCTTGCACGGGAGACCAGGAATATGGGGAAAGTCAGACTGCACTGGTTGGGTTTGAGCACGCGACCTATGGAGAGAGAAATTGGTAACTTCCATCGCTTGACCATCGTGCTTTGGCGCACCCTTTTTTTCTCTTTATTGATGACCTCAAACCCTATTTGATCTCCTCTGATAGTGCCTCCTAATATTGTTCTCGTTCTTATACCAATTCCTGTGCCTTTCTTAACACCATCACCCACAATTAATTACCGCAGTCTCTCAAATCAGACCTAAATGTCTGGGTAAGTAGGGAAGCTAAAAGAGAGTAGTTTTTCAGTGGTACGAAAACATTTTGTGTCGGCATTCACCGAAATTCTCTAATTTTACCTTGAAAATCCTTTAACTACTCCAATCTACTTCGTTTTACATCCTCGACGATCTTAGCTTAGTTCCGAATTCTTTTCCAATCTTGATCCTCTTTTGTTGTAGAACTTGAGTCACGCGCGATCGCGTCCTTGTCCCTTTTCTACCATTATTACCACAGAGTTTGATTTCCGGAGCTTGCTGACTTGATTTATCCGCCAATTTTACTTGCTGGCGACACCCAGTCGCAGGCGATAAGCCACGGGAGACTCTGAAATCCGAACGGCAACGTACAACTATTCTCTTCTCGGGAACCAGAAAGTGGTGGAACACTTTTCCTCACTCTGTTCTGTAGGCACACCTAAACACTCTATTCTCGAGTGTAGTGTTTTTGGATTAATTTCGCCCCATCCCCAACCGTTCATCACTCTTTATGATTATGAGGGTTCATTCCTTTACTGCGCATCATACTTATCATGTTATAAAAATGGTATAGCTATCTTCATGGGTGAATATAATCAATCCGGTTTAGAGCAATAATTTCTTGAAAAGAGATCAGCAATCTACGGAATAGGTAGGTTCACTGTGCAGCATGAGACAAAACAGACAGCTCACTCCAATATCCACTGCCGGTAGGTAAAATACACTGAGATCAGTGGAGAAAAATTGCGGATCTTGCAATAAGTATCGTTTATAGCGTTCCTGATACCGCGGAAGCAATTCCCCCATGGATCGTAGCCCACATTCCAATGTCGGTCGTGAAGGAAACACTGCGTGCAAATTTCCTCGAGGGGAGGTCAAGACAGAATTTTCCATATTATTTGACCCTGTCCTGCGATGCATCATCGGTGGAATGACAGTGCCCCACATGTTAGGATCAATTCCACTTCGGAGGTCTACATCAGAGTTGGGACCCTTGTTCGGAAGGCGTGGGTGAAGTACACAGCAGCCTGAATCCACATGGATCTGAACTTCAACTTTGAGATGCACTTTGGGCGCAATCGCAGTCTCTTTAGTTTGATCGGACTCTAAGATGCGAGGGGGACGCTCTGCCTCGATCAACCCGGTACGTCGGGGAGGTGGTGGAGGAGGTTGCACAGGTTTGTCCGTAGCGACAAGCGGGGAATTATCCGTGCCCAGTTGGACAGATTTGTCATCTGGCCGAATTGTCTGCTCAAGCTCATCCGAATCTGACGAAGAGTCAGCAAGTCCTTCTGAGGGAAAACATTCATCAGGAAATGTGGCCAACAGATCATTGTCCAGTTGGCTGGCATCCGGATTTTCCAACGGATCAAACCAGAGATCTGGAAAGAGACAAAAATCAGAACCTTACTGTAAAGGGCGAAAAAATCAGAGGCAATGCAGGCAACAACGATATATAGAGAGAGATGGATCGTGGATAAGTACAAGCTAGTTGATTGGCAACTTGGGGTGACACGGTGAATTACAAACAGGTCGGAGGGTTGAAGAAAACTACAACTTCCGTGAATAGAAGCAGAGGCACTCAGACTAATCATGGATAACAAGTGGAGTGTAATAAACAGTTCAGCAAAGTGAACGGTGCAGTGCACCAAAAGCCCAACAGACCCTTCAATCTGAATGTATTGCTGCGCTAATGAATTGCAATGTATTCCAGATGAAACACTCTCGACTACGAGCATTCACTCCGCTTCCTTTTCTCTCAGAAAACAGGCCATATGTATTAGTACAGTCCCTGCAGAAAAGGGTTGTGCTAGTTGAATGAATCACAGAAAAATGAACTCCCTCACAACGTCGAGGAAGCCTTGGATCTCTGGGGGCTTTGAGTTATTCGGGCTCATGTTTCTGGTGAGCACCACGAAAATATCATTTGAGAGAAATGTAGTGAGAAGGAAAGCAATGACCAGGAGAACAATGCAATTTCTAACTATATCAGAATAGCTCCAAAGTACCGTATTTCATCACCACAACATTATCAATGAGCGTCCAAACATTTCGCAAATAGCCATCAAAAGTTTGGTTTGGGAGCGGGCTTTTGTACGGAAATGAAGGAACAAACTTCAAGAAACTTATTCACATGCAAAGAAATTCGAAAATAATAATAATGAAACACAAAATAAATAAATAAAATATCACAAATAACTATAGGCAAATCAACAGGAAAGTTTGAAATGAAAAGCAAATGGGTCGTTGTGAGTAGAACTAGTTACAATACATCGATTACAACCGTAAAACGGTAAACACTCATACCACTTCTTCTGTCTGCCTGCGATTCTCTGTACGTCATGGTCACACTTTGATCACCGGTCACACTCTCATAACTGGAAGAGAGTTCTAACGTCTGATCACCAATCCTCGGCGCGGCGTCACGATCCCGGTCAATGTCGAAGTAGATTGAGTCATTACCAGATAGGAGTGATAGTCGACGCCCAGTGTCCGCAATATTTCGAGATGGACCCAAATCTGTCGGTTCTGAACCACCTGTGTTGGATTCCAGGAGTGTCGAGCGGAAAGAGGCGATCTGCGGGCAGGCGGAACTCGGGTGAGCAGGTATTTTATCGGATCGGTCTGAAGTTGCAGGTAAGGGTCCAATTCGTTGAATTGAGTTACTTCCAGTTAAACGGGTTTGTAAAAGCGGACTGCGCGACTAAAGAAACAAAAAAGTCACCAACAGGGGGGGCTAACAATCAACAACAACAAGGTGGGCAATGACTCAAAACGAAAACACGTCCTAGGATGATGATTCATATTTTGTAACAAAAAGTCAACGCTTTGACGCCCAGGATAGATGAATAGGACTTTTCAAAGAAAGTATTCACCTGGAATTTCAATGTCCAAAATAGGTTCCGACAAATATTTTTTGAACAGAAAAAATAACGTTGGTCCATAGTTCTACCACCTCAAAAGGCGTTGGCGCCATGCATATTCCCAAACCGGTGTTATATATATATATATATATATATATATATTCATGAGAAACCATTGCATAACACACCATTAGTGAATGGCAGAAAGAATTAGCTCTATGGGTACGAGGAGGAGAAATCATCAGTCTTAGTCCCGGGAGTAAAGCGGTTTGACTCTAACTAAGTCCAACAGGGTTAACGAATGAACAAGCTGGAAACAATGCGAAGGAGAGAGCTGGGTTTTACTATTCATAAAAAAATATAACACGCAAGTTGTTCGATTCGAATCGGATGGGACATGGAGGGAAATAATAAAAGCTTACTAGTGTCGGCCCCCTTCGACGAAGAGTATTCCACTTTTGTCGCTTGAACGCTTGGCAGTACTGGGCTTCGAGTAGCTCTTGTTTGTGTTTGAGAAATTCCATGCTGCGCACCTGAGCCAGGTCTGGTAGAAGATCTTCAGGTAGAGGTTTTTTGCGACTGAATGAAGAAATAAACAACTTATGTGTACGAGAGAGGGAGGCAGAACCAGCTAGTAGGAATTTATTGATTTGAAAGTTACACGTACTAAGAAATACTACAAGGAATGTACCTTACTACGCAAATATCGGCAAAGTAGCTGGTGGTAGTACAACGGATAGTATATTTCGGTGTTACCGGTGCATACCAGATCTCCCCTAAACGCTATGTCATCTTAGTAGATAGAAACTACATCGTGGTCAATAAACAACGATGATGCTTAAGGTAGTGAAGTAAACTTATCTGGTAGAAAGACTTCAAAAATGCATTTTTTGGCATTGCCGAGACGGCTCTGCATCTTACTTTCCATGGCGATAACATGTGAAACCATAGATGACGCACCAACCAAATGCATCCTTGGGCTTCTGTGGTCAAATAGAGAGCTCCACTATGTTAGAATGTTGTAGCACATTTTGAGTGGAGTGAGGATATTATAAACCTGCTAAACGGACCTTCACCAAGGCCACACCGCATTTTCGAAAGTGGCATATGTTAGAGACATTACTCTTCCTTACAGACCTGATCAGCGAACATCTGCAGATTATCCGCATACTGAAAACAAGCTGCTCAGATGACTCACTGTATCAGGAACAAACATTAACATGTGTTCAATAAGACTGCAATTAAATAAGGCATCCAGAATTAAATTAGTTGATGGCAAATGGACAGATGCTGGATAAAGTCAGTTTTATTATGGGCGATTTAACAAAGCTAGAGCTTATCACGCCCCATAGGATTCTTACAGAATATTTTGAATAACTTCACAAAGAGAAAATAACAATGATAATAATGTGAGTGATCATTCACAGATGTTGAAATTTTAAGAGTTCCAATGCTTTATCAAGTTGCGATTTAAATAGTTCAACTGTAGGAGCCCACACTAAATCAGATGGGAGAGAATTCCATACGCCGCACACTCTGACTGCAAACGAGTGATGCCGGCAATCAAGGTGGCTGTTCTGGGTCTTTACCTTTAGTGGATGCCCCAGAGGCGATCATTATGAGATAAAGTCAGCATAGAATAAAAAGGGTAGTTGGGTGGATGCAGTATGTCATATGCCAATATTAGGTCTCCCCGAAGTCGGCGGTATCGAGATGAGTAGAGTCCCAATATTTGCAGTGTTTCGGAGTATGTCTTGTTACATAGACCTTTTACCAACTTTGTTGCCCGCCTTTGCGGACTTTCTAGAGCCTTCCTGTCGCGGTTTAACCATGGATTCCATGCTTGAACGGCGTACTCCCTGTGTGGCCGTACGAACGCTGATAACAAGCGTGGGAACAGTGCTCTTTCGAACTGCCCGAAAACACGTCTGAGTAGTTCAACTTGCTTTAGAGCCATAGATGATGCTGTGGCACAGAACGTGGAACATCCTACGTCCTCCTGTACTGTAACTCCCAAATGCCTTTCATCAGTGGCATGTGGTAGTATTTGGTTCCCCAGAACAAAGGAGAAACGAGTCTTAGGCCGCATGGAAATAACTCTGCATTTGGAAACGTTGAACTCGATGTCGCTGGTGATTGACCATCGGTGGGCTGCGTCGACCGCTTGTTGGAATGCTATATAATCCTCAGGATGTGTTACAGTTCTCCAGATCTTAGTGCCGTCCGCAAGTAGCAGTGTATTAGGCCCAAGGACATGTGGCAGGTCGTTTATAAATGCAAGAAAGAGGCGAGGCCCCAGTACGGATCCTTGAAGAACCCCCAGGTAGCGGTGATAGGCTCTGATAATGAATCACCCACACGAACTGACATGGTCCTTTATCGGAGAAATTCCTTGATCCAGTCCAGAGCAAAACCTCTTACTCCGTAGTTGTAGAGTTTTCGTANTTCGTAGTGGAACTTGGTGGTTTACTCGATCGAATGCCTTGGAGAAGACCAAATAAACTATATCCAATGGCTGGCCTGCATCGATGGATTTTGTCCACTCATCCCGTGAAAGGAGTAGGTTTGTGGTGCACGAACGCTTGTGCCCAAATCCGTGCTAGTTTGGAGACAAAAGCGCATGCTTCTCCAGATATTCCATCAACAGATCTGCCACAATAGCCTCCATAACTTTGACAATTTCGGAAGAAGTGTAACAGGACGGTAGTTGGCTGGATCATTGCGAGATCCCCCTTTGTAAATGGGGGAAATCACCCCTTCCTTCCATGATCGCCCAATTACTGCTTGGTTGAACATCCTTTGGTAAAGAACAGCCAGCGGTTCAGAAATGTTATTGGCTAGCGACATCAGAGTTCGGGGATGCATGTTGTCTGCGCCTGGGGATGAATTCTTACGAAAGTTAGTAGTTTGGGTCTAACTTTATCACTGTCAAAAGCCACGTTATCCAGTGACGGATACGGTATACATGTTAGTTTGCTTGGAATCTGTAATGCTTCGTGTGTCGTTGCAGTAAACACCTGAGCGAGCTGTTTCTTGAGGAACTCTGCTACTTCTAGAGTAGTGGTTGAAACATGTCCAGACGATCTCAATGCTGGTATTCCTTATTTCACCTTCCTTGTAGAGTTGATATGTTCATAAATCAATTTTGGATCAGAAATGAATATCATCGCATGCACGAAAAACACCAACGCTATACTCAGAGCAATATCAACTACAAAACAAACTGAAGATAGTTGATTGCAATACTGAGTCACAGTCATTGAGGAAGTTGTACCTCGCTGCGGTTCGGGCGTATAAATCACACGATATGGAACGAAACAACATATTACATAACGGAAAGTGTATCACATACTTCCCAGGCGGTACATAATCGTCCAATGATGTGTTGTCCGAAATGCGGTCGGAGAGACCACGAGTCATTGAACGTCGAGGACGGTAGCGAGAACCACCGACGGAAGCTAACGAAAGTGGATGTTTTGTCCAGTTAGTTGCATCTGATTTTAATCGTGCCTCGGTATCTTGGGGATCTTCGCGAGCCGGAGAAATGTTCGCAAATTCTTCCTCTTCTTCCTCAGCTGAGGTAGCCAACAAAGGTGCGGCACCTTTGTAACCGGTGATTCTAGTTACTATGCTCATCAATGCCTTGATGCGCCGACCGATGTTATCGTCCAAATGGAAATCGAGACCGCGCATTTGCCAACGGATAATCAGATACCACTGAGCGCGGTTTTCTAGTAGCAGAGAAGAAGGAATGGAGCGAAAACGATAACTCATAACTGTATTGTTTTCATTGGGTCAGGGTGGTATACAATGAAACGGTGTACTTTATTGATCAGTAGCGAGGAAGCAAGTCAGTCAGCGCGTGAGGGAGAACGATAACAAAAGTGCACAGCTTACCGACGTCACGCCAGCACACATTGAATGTGCCACTGGGAACAACACATGCGTTCAAAATGACCAGATGGGGTTTGCCTTTGACATCAACAGTAGCACGCTTCCAATCCGGACGCCAATCATCAGAGCCCACATTGAATTCATCGTCAAAACGAAGACAGAAATCTAAAGCGAGATATACAGGTCAATGAAACCGAAGGTGCTGATCTTACCGGTGAATTCGCTCTGACTGACAAGGGATTCGCGATAACACGCGGAAATTCGACTTCGATCCAATGTCAGTACCAAGGCAGTCCGTGAATCCGCTTCCATCGACTGAACACTCGGCTACAGAGATGAGAATTCAGTCAGGGACGTGGGATTGAAAAAGTGGTCCACAATCTACATTTGACAAAAGCAACACTGTCAAAAAAACTATTTTGTCAACAAACATTCTCCGGAAGATAACCTCGAAAAAGGAACGCAGTCAACTTGTTTAACATCGCTATGTTGCTTGAACTATGTTGTTTCAAACGGTGTCAACTAATTTGATCCGTCCTTCTAATAGATATAGGAAATTGTATATGAACGAGCTCTCCAGTAATTTGATGTATATTCGGATCATGAATGGAAAACGGAAAAACGAAACGCACAGCGGATGACGATGCTGCCCATGAATGTTCCTTCATATGCAGAAGAATTTTTCCCCTGGAATGGTGAACAAGGATGAGTGCCACAACGAGACCATCGTCTCGAGCCCAGTTACGCAACGGATGGCGACAAACGTGTCCTAAGCGGGGCGTGAGTATCTTCCAAGAACAGTCAGAGTTAGAGTTTCAGCTGATGAATACAACTTTAGCCATAAAAACTTATGATGCATCGACCAAAAGAAACGGGGAAATAGATGGCGCAAAAAATTCTTTAGTAAAGTATCACGTTAACAAATGATTGAATACAACTTCAATATTCCGAACGGCTACGTCATCTAATTATCTGAGCTAATCAAAGACTATATCGCATCATACTATTGAGCTTGTTGCCTGAAACTGTGATGATGATTGTGATGAGTACGAACAGGATGAAAGAAGCATGAACATGAGGCAACGCAGTACAACAAAAAGTAATATCCTTATTGAAGGCATATTACTGTTCATGCAAAAAAGCAGAGGAAATATAACTATATTCTGGTGTGATAGCCGACAAAAGAGTGCTGGATAGCTGTTTCTTGCTTATTGCGACTGGTCAGCAGTCACTGCGTGCGCGCACACTAACAAGTACCGACAAGAATAAAACAAGAGCCCAGCGCTCTTAGTCGGCTATCGCACAATAATTTCAATTGTAAATAAAAGCACTTAACACGAGGAGAATAGTGAACTCTCAGGGAGTGAAAATTACAACCACAGTACACAAAAAGTACCTGGTACCTATGTACATGGAATGGACTCTTCCAAAGCTAGTAATCGCAAAGAACAGATAAGTTTGAAATGATTGGTACACATGTAGAAGACGGAACAAGGTGGATGCATTCGGGGATTTATGAAGTTGTGTACACACCACATGTTGACTGGCTGGAATATAATTGGGAATTCGTCTTGATTGGCACTAAACGCAAATGATTGTCACAATCCTCAACAGTCATGAATACTTCGAACATTTGGGACTGAGTCCAGCGATATACCAGTACTCGAAGAAGGGCAACCCAGTTGATTAAGAGTAGATCGGTCAGCAAAGGCTAATTGTTCTTGTTCTGAGAAGTAGGTAAAGAACAGGTACGACAATCGATCCAAGCAATCACGAGTTACAATCAGTGCGCTCTCAGAAAGTGCAACTGAGTTAGATGCTAGACAGAATTACCGACGGCCCTTGAAAAGGTTACAGTCCATTTCCAGGAAATGCGTTTTGCAAAAATCTATTGAAGGACGTAAAAATACTGCTTTTAAGTAGTATCAGAGCATGAATCGGCTAGTTCGCGTTCACTGATTACGATGATTGGCAGAGACACATGTTGTCCCAGATCTTATTAATGGTCAACCTTTGTGATTTGGATCAAATATACGAAAACTAAAAAAAATCAATTCGTGAACACTGGAGGTGAACGAGGCTTACAAGAAATGTTGTGGTGAGAATGTTTGGGGTGGGGATGGAAGACCGGAGTTACCATTACTTTAGTCCTTATTCACCTTGTTCAGATGTTCACAAGATTCACTTCGAAGAATGTTCAAAACTATCTAATCATCCAATGAACGTTGCTGAATGATCACAATTTAGGACCAAAAGACCCACTTGCCACGTTGGTGACTGTAAAAACCAAAACCGAAAAATGCATTAACAGGTGCCGCGAACCGATAACGACAAAACCTCAATAACGAGAATATCATAATTATCTACGGTAGGCAATCAGTCTCAGTGGAACTATACGAAACCCCAAAACGCTGATATGCTTCATTTCATTCCGCAACTAAGCATTGTCTCATCCTCAAACTGACCTGGAGTACATTTATGGGAAAACAGACTCCAAGCTCCTCAACATTTAGTTGCAGAAACAATGTGGACGCAGTCGACCCGTCTGTGTGAGTCTCTTTACCAGTAGCGTTTGTGCCGGTAACCTCCGCGTCTGAATGAAGACCCGTAGTCGGAGGATCAACGGATGACGATATAGTGGGCACCGACGATTCGAACAACCCGTACTGATGTTCAAGCGACTCAGATATAGAAGTCTTGTGCACAGGAGAACGACGTGCAGAAGGTTCCACGACCGGGACAGCCGGAGTCTAATAGTGTAGACAAAGCGACAACAAAAATAGTGGTATAAAACTAGTAAGTATCGAGTCTAAGTATGCATCAAAAAGAACATAGTCAGCATATATTGTGTCATTGATTAAGTACTCCATGTAAAAGTGTCTTACTGGATGAATTACAGTGAGGCAATAGACCGTCATGGGATTTATTCCAATCGGCTAACTACAGCAAATGGCCGCATCTAACAACTCAAAACGGATTCCTAATTTGGCATCCCAATGATAGTAGGACAGCACCACATGAACTACATAGTGATAGGTTCTTGCTGGTCTTTTTTGGTCGAGTGCATCATAACGGAAAATACCAGAGGCACCGACAAAACACTGGTACGGGCCCGCATTAAGATTTAACTTTTGACACAAGAGAAACCTCGCAAACTCCAACAGACTGAGTGAATATATTTTTACAAAGACTAGTATATGAATGAATGGGAAAAATACTCCAGAAGCACACGACCGGTTTCGCGTTCCTTGCTGCTCATCAGGTATGCGTATCTGGTAGTCTTGTTTGGTCATTCTTATGCTTGAACTCCCGATGTGAATAAGGCAATGCAAACCTAATTTGAAGCCCGGGAAGTGGATTTGAGACGAACAAGCCTCGAAAGAATGACTGCGATGATTTTGTATCAGGTTTTGTGGGTTAGAAGCGTCTAACCTCAACCAACTCGACGATAGAGCCGATTTTCAATAGTTTTACAATGAGTGACGAGCGGCAAGGACCGCGTAACCGGTCGTGTGCTTCTGGGGAATTTTTCCCATTCATTCATATACTACAGAGTGAATGTTTCAACAACAGCAATTCCATACAACGTCCACGAGTTAATGAACACTATCACCAGAGTGATCGCGATACTTGTCGATAATTCTATAGAAGTGCGATGAACAGCGCTAAAATCATCTGTCACAGAAGCCACCATCAAACAAATGGGTAAAACATCTCGACAAATAGTCATGGATCTCCGAAGAAAATCTTAATCAGCTCGTAAAAGCTAGCAGTGCGGAACTTCACAACTCACGTGATCTCAGCAACCTTCATCTGTGATTAACGACCGCAAATATTATTGGTCTGAGTTTGTAGCCAGGATGGCAACAGTAGGCGCTATCCTTTTTACTGCAAGATAACAGTGGCCATCTCATTCTGGGAAACAACTTCACTGATTCACTTGCTCTACAGCCAGTGCCTGATTGTACCGAATGCGAACCCGATTTCGTCCGTTGGAAGATGAACATGTCCTAAAACGCAAGTCTTCACAACTTCCACAATACTGGTTACGCCCCAGTGGCGTTAACGGTGAAGCATTAGAGCAGGTACGCCACTTCACGTAGAAACGATCTACTATCCAGCCAAACGACTCAGTCAGAGACAAAGTCAAACTTTGCATTGAATGCACAAATAAGGCACTACGAAACTAAGAAAAATAAGAATGCGCGCACACTGAGCAGCCATCCGACCCGAGCTTAAAAGACCTTGTGGAAAGTGGCCAATGAAAGTGAATGGCAAGAAAACTAGAAAGCCTCGACCACTTGTGCATCCGAAATATGGCTAAAACTAAGTGGTATGATCAAACGCCACCGCCCATCAATATTGTGAGGATATAGAGAGACTATCTTTTGTTCTACAACGTCACCGTCTTCAATGGGTTGGTCATGTCCTCCACCGTCCTGGAACAGAAATCAAAACGAAGTTTGCGGCCGATACCTTGTCCGAAATAATAACATCGCCTTCACGGACAGCCAAAAATTTTGGTAAGTATAGTGGAATCGGATGTAGATGATCCAGGTCACTAGTAGAATCTTAGACTTCGCAACTGGCTCGACAATTGGTTTTTGCAATGCGCTGACCTTGCGGCAAGTCGCAACACATGGGAGCTGCCATCAGAGACATCCAAGCAGCCGACCCATTTGCATACAAAAAGTCGAACAAAAGTAAAAATAAAAAGTAAGTACACTCACCACAGATATTAAATATTCCATATGTTCGTTCCACTTCGCCAGTTCCCGTTTGTAAACCATCCACATGAGAATCGCTGTTAATATTACATTATCCGCCGTAGAAAGAGAGAGAGGATGAAAATATACGTTAGGGTATCACAATCATCAAGAGAGGGGGAAGTCACTTATTGATTGATTATTTGGACTAACCTCGATCAAATGTGAATGGTTTGATCCACACGGTTGGACGATTGAGAGAAATAAGAAACGCATCATGTTCACATGCACCCATGTAACGGCTATCGGTTTGCAATGGCCCGGTGTTCGACGAGGCGAACTTTTCGTCCGCCAACAAGGAGCGCAGAGCAATCGATGTTTTGAACAGTGCAACTGTTTTGAATTCAGGGGAACGTTCTTTGTACAATACATCCTACCAAACGAAAAAAGGGTTCAAACACATTGGAGCAGTGAATTTGATTAATCATGAACGGGAACAAGCTAGTTAGCCCTCTCCGTTCCAAAATTGGGTATGTGAAAATGGTCAGTCACATAGATACCTCATTGGGTTTGTGGTTGAGACGAAAAGCGTGATACGATTCGGTAAGAACCAATTCGGGAGGAAACTAGGTCGAGATTACCTGATCCAGATATCCGAGTTCGGCACACAAATGTCCCACAGAAACGTAGATGAACAGCGATTCCCCAGAACCTGCGAAAGAAAGGATACCCAAAATGGCGTAAACCGCGCGAAATTCTAAGTTTTAACTAGAAAACCTTTGCATCAAGAAAAATGGCGAGCGGCAGAAACGTGTACCACATTAGATTACATTCCTGGATGACCTATGCTAAATCGATCATGTTCTTTACTTGTCCAGCGACCAGAAATACCCAGGCGTTTGATAAATTCTAAACATGATGCATATAACAATTTCACTCAACACGCAATACAAAAAAAACAATCAAACTCAGAATTCACGTAAAGTGCACTAAAGTGCCCGTTTCTGTTACAATCAAAAGTGTTCATTAAAGTTGGTCGGTTCGAAATGTCCGAGCTAAGGCCACATGGACCGAATAGAAAGTGTTATTCAATTATGAAGAAAGGGTTACTGAAATAATATGTAACTGGTGATTTGCTTAAGTGAAAACGATTCGACCTGAAACAAACGCAATAAATTCATTGAATAAAATTCACAATATAAATAAATTAAACTGAAATTACTGCAACCTCACACTACTTGTTATGTTGGGCTAGTAGACAGAGAACATGGGGTAAGAAATCCAGAGACCACTCTTATTGCCCGGGCATTTACATAGGTTTCGATGTCTCCAAAGCTAAACAGTGACATGCTGAGTATGATCATGTAAAGCTACATCATACTGTTAAATTTTATGGCCAAGGAAAATACGGTAAATATTGATATACAAAAAACAGCCGGGAAAGAAATCTCAGACTTGTCTCCTAGATGAGATACAGCTACCCGAATGGTAAGATTTATCTACAGTCAATCTTCTACTATGTCGCACTCCTCGGAAATTCGAAAACGGGTAAACTCCAGGAACTGCAACATAGCATGTTAGTCAGTAGTAGGTGCTATTAGGTACTATGAAAAATCGGTCGGGAGTTTTATGACAAAATAAACCGGATTGATGAAATGTATGTTACTTCTGCTACTTGTTCCCAATGTTTATAATTCTGTACTGTTTATAACGGAATTTAGATATACCGTCCTGAGCATCCTTTATTTATCCAAGATACTGAAATCTTGTACGATACCCTCAGATTCATAGTAGTACATTGCATCCGGTATTCAACCCTTTTTCAGTTTCATGTAGTTTGTTATGTTGAAACTACCTACATTTCTTCAGTGGAATTTATTCTAACCCAATTATCTTATTAATTCCAGATACTTTTGCATTCCTTTGCAATGGTAAGCTAACCATAAAATTGCTAATATTCCAAACTCATTGTTTGCTGTGCAATCTATTCATGATTTTCTGGTGAAAAATGTGTAGCATTAACTGTGTTCGTTAGCTTTTTTTGCTGCCAGAGCATTGCTACATTCTTTATAATCAACATCGGTAAACATAAGTTGCGGATCAAGTTCAATACGTGATAAACAAATTAAAAGTGCATCGCTCAAACAGTTAGGGGAGCGTCAGACCCGGGTTATAATGACCTTTGGCCAATGACCTGTCTAATTTCATAGGTGTTCTAGCAATGACAAGTGCGATTATTATTCATTCATTCACACAGACGCGCCCGCGCGATGATTTATCGTACGTTTGGATATGACACCTTATTCCGGACACCGGATCACCAGCCAATCGCGATTATTATTCACTCGTTTAGGTGCGATAGAGTTCATCGATAGACGGAATGGCCGTGGCTTTGCTGACCACCGAAACAAAAATGACCTCAGTAGGGTGCCCCACAGAATCGTGGGGAAAATCTTTGATTCAAAACGAGGCTTCTTTGAAAAACCATCTTGCGGTTGACATCCGATAGCTAATTGCAAAATGATGCAGAATTCATCCATGGGTTCTTTGAGGAATTATGACTACAGAGAAGGCTTTTTTCTATATCTATAACTCGGAGATATCGTGGAGTTTAAAACTTTCCAATAACCAATGGTGATAAACTTTCTCCAGTTATGCTCCCACAAAGCAGTAACGTGACTCGTTCTTTGGATTTCTTGGATCCAGAGACTGTTTTTCCTTTGGGAATTATTGTTCTTTCTGGAAGCCGCTTAGTAGTACAAGGCTGTTTCATCTGCATTGAAAATATCGCAGTCAGCGCAACAATCGATCAACTGCGGTAACCCCGCTCGAAAATTGCCCATTGCATCAGGTGCCGCCGCCAATCTTTCACCTTGAACCTATGAAGTAATACACATACGTAGTTTTTTTTTTGAAACACGAAGTGAATCGGTTATGGAGCTTTAATTTGCACACGGCTGATTCAGCATTTCCAACACGGTCTGATAGATAGACGATCATACATTTTGAAGTCAAGTGACAGTCTTCAATGGTTGGCATTGGTGTGTCTTCCTCACGAAGATTATTCAATCAGTGAACAGCGTCATGCTCGCGTCACACTAGGTGAAACGCCATTGGTTGAGTGCGACAATGCAGGGTGGCCGGTCAATGGCCATAACGAATATCGGTCAACGATCAAGTAAGTAGGTATCAGGAACTGTGACATATTGAGAGGGGCGATAGTATATGGTCAGAAGCTACGTTATTACGCATACAGTTGGTTTGTTTTCGAAAAAGTGGGAAGATGTTGGAAAATGCGACTTCTCGGGGACACGACATAGAACGAGATTGACTGTTCATTCACCAAATTGAGTTGCAAGTGCAACGTAAAATATTTATAAATAGTTTACGTTGATAGTGAAATAAACTCATCAGGCGAACCCATCACTAAGAAGTAGAGTTCTGAGTTTCAGTTTTTCCAAATATTAACCATGCGCAGGTTTAGG